AGGGGAAGAGAAGATTTATGGAAGATGGAAGAGATTCAGTTTATAACATATAACGTAAATGGGTTGAACTCCCCTGGGAAAAGATTTAGACTGTTTAAAGAATTACATCATAGAGCAGCCTCAGTAGTATTCCTACAGGAGACACATCTTGAGATAGAATCGAACGTTAGGCTGAGATCCAGAAATCACCCAACATGGTATTATGCTGATTCCCCGGTTAAGAGAGCGAAGGGTGTTGCAATAGGTATGGCAAAGAATACTAGGTTTGAGCTGGACGATAGAATGACAGACCCAGAGGGGAGATTCTTGTTCTTAAAGGGAAAACTGCAGGAGATTGAGTGTACATTGGCCAATATTTATTGTCCTAATAAAGGCCCGGAGATATATCTGAGAAAAGTGCTGAGGAAGTTGATGGACTTTAAAAAAGGCTGTTTGATTCTCGCAGGGGATTTTAATTTTTGTATGGATCCACAAAAAGATGCTACCTCCCATGCACAGAGAGAAGGAAGTAGGGCTCTGAAACTCTTGAAGAAAGAACTACATATAAGCCAATTAGTAGACGCCTGGAGAATTACACACATGCAAGATAGAGATTATACCTTTTTTTCAAACATGCATAAGAGGTATTCAAGATTAGACCACATATTAATAGAACATCAATTAATCGACCACCTAGTTCAAATTGAAATAGAGACAATCTCTTTATCGGATCATGCCCCAGTTAGAATGAAATTGGAATGGGGGAAGGGGAAAACAAGAGGGCTGGGATGGAAACTTAATGAGACACTATTAGTAGAAAACGAAATAGCCCAGAAAATAGGGGAAGAGATTGAACGGTATTTCAGGAAAATGAGACAGGTGATGTGTCCATAGCTACAGTGTGGGAATCTCATAAGGCATACATAAGAGGAATATTGATAGCGATTGGGGCAAGAAAGAAAAAAGAAAGAAGAGAGAAAATGAGCAGACTCTTAGAAGAAATAAGTAAGCTAGAACAACAACACAAGAATAGAATAATAAAAGAAATAGAGTTGAAGTTAAAAAAAAAGAAAGAAGAATTGGAAGGTGTAATAGAAGAGGAGAGGAGAAAAGCATATAATAGGGTTTTGAGTGAGAGATATAGATGGGGAGAAAGATCGGGAAAATACTTGATGAGGGCCCTAAGGAAAAAGAAAAATAGAAATTATATAGAAAAAATAAAAGACGTTAAGGGGAACCTGAAACACTCAAATAGAGAAATCACCAAAGTTTTTATGGAATATTATAGAGATCTGTATAATATAAATCCCCTGCGGGAATCTGAAAATATAGAAAGTGAGAAGAACCATAAGAGAAAGAAATATATAGAGAAGGCTGGGTTACTAAAATTAAGCGAAGTCCAAATGAACTCCCTGGATGCAGATATCTCACAAGAGGAAATAAAATTAGCTCTGAAGGGTACAGTGTTTGGGAAAAGTCCAGGTCCAGATGGTTATACTGTGAGATATTATAAAAAATATAGTGAAATCTTAGTACCAAAACTTAGAAAATATATGAATGCATTAGGTGGAGAGATGGAAATAAGAAAAGAATCGCTACAAGCTCAAATGGTGCTTATCCAAAAAGAGGGAAAAGATGCTACACAGTGTTCGAACTATAGACCTATCTCATTATTAAACACTGACACTAAGCTATACGCAAAGGTCTTGGCAAATAGATTGAAAGAGCTAATGCCGGAATGGATACATCAGGACCAGGTGGGCTTCGTTCCCGGGAGGGAGGGTAGAGATAATGGGCTACGATCATTGATGCTGATCCAAAAAAGTAAAAAGGGAAAAAGAACCGGTGATTCTACTCTCTATAGACGCTGAAAAAGCGTTTGATAGAGTGAATTGGAGATTCATGATAGATACGTTGGAAGTCATGGGAATTGGCCCAAGATGAGAGAGTGGATAGGAAAGTTGTATAGATACCCCTCTGCAGTTGTTGTGGTGAATGGGGAGAGGTCAGAACCCATTGAGATGTCAAACGGTACAAGACAGGGATGTCCACTGTCCCCATTGTTGTATGTTGTATTACTAGAACCACTTCTGTCAACAATACGGCTAAATAGAGATATAAAGGGAATTCAGATAGGGGACACGGAACATAAAGTCGCCGCTTTTGCTGACGACTTGCTGTTCTATGTGAGAAACCCCAGGATGACACTGCCAAACCTAATGAAACTATTGAAGGAGTATGGAGAATTGTCAAATTTAAAGATAAATCCAACAAAAACGGAGATTCTAAATATAAATATTTCAAAAAATGAAAAAGAAAAAATACAAAAGGAATTTCCCTTTAAATGGAAAGATAGAGATATAAAATACTTAGGAGTAAATCTCACAGCTTCATATAAACACCTTTACAAATTAAACTATATTTCACTGATTAATGAGATTAGAGAGGAGCTAAAAATATTGCAAGAGGGAACCCCGACATTGATAGGTCGTATTAACCTAGTAAAAATGATAATAGTACCAAAAATCATGTATAGATATCAAATGATACCAATTAAACTCCCAGAGACCTTTTTTAAGTTAATTAAGAAACTGATAACAAAATACATATGGAGGAATAAAAAACCAAGATTGTCATATGAGTTGTTGAGTAGGAGGAAAGAAAGAGGTGGTTTAGGGCTTCCAGATTTTAAAAGATACTATAAAGCTGTAATATTGGCTAGAACTATAGACTGGACACAGAACTATAAAAAAAGTTGGGTGAGGATAGAGAATGAACTTAGTGGAATAGATTTGGGTAAAGTGATATGGATACCAACACAGTATAGGGGCCTAAATGATAATGTAAATACATACACTTTGAATGTTTTAAAAATTTGGGATAACCTACACAAAAGTTTGAAATGGTCTTTTAATTCAACACTAATTTCACTAAAAAACACGGAGTTTTTCCCCCCTGGTAGAGAAGAAATAGGAGGTAGGTGGTTTAAAAAGGAAGAGGTTCAATTAAGAGATATTTTGGTGGGGGATAAAATAGGATCATTTGGGGAATTGAAAAAAAAAAGAGGGTGAGATTTTCACTAAATTAGACAAGTGGCGGTATTTTCAATTGAAGAGTTTTGTTGGAAGCTTGCCAAAACCTTTAAGGACAAGAGACAATTGGAACTTGTTTGAAAAGGTTTTGGGCACACGAGGTGACGGGAAACACGGGATTGCTAAGGTATATAAAATACTCACAGAACTAGATATAAATACAAAGCCAACATATATAATAAAATGGGAAACTGACATGGGAAGTGTGATAGATGAGGAGAAGCAGAGGAGAATATATAGATTAACCCACGAAAACATTTCTATGAGAGAAGTAGAGATGAACTATAAGTGTTTGACAAGATGGCACATTACACCAATTGTTGAAAATAAGATGTGTAAAGAGAGTTCACCGTGGTGTTGGAGGGGATGTGGTGAAATGGGTACAACATATCACATATGGTGGGGTTGCCCAAAAATTCAGTTATTCTGGAAGACAATAACCCACTTGATAAGAAAAATAACAGAAATAGACATTGGATTAGACCCAGAAGTGTGTATTTTACATAACATGGACATATCAGTCAATAAATATAAAAAATCAGGGATATGGTGCTACATTAATGCTGCAAAAGCTCTGATACCCAGGTTTTGGAAGCAAATAGAAGTACCGAGGGTAGAAGACTGGGTAGAAGAAGTTGAGCAGATTAAAAAGATGGAAAGGTTGTGCCATGTCCAGGAAGATAGGATGGAGATTTATAATAGGAAATGGGAGAATTGGGAAAAAGCTAAGTTATATACGAAATATAGGAAAGATTAAAAGAAAATAATAGGAAAACTGCACTTGCTGAGATAAAATGATGCAGAGAAAAAGGAAAAGTAGGAAGATGGGATTTGGGTGAGGGTGGTGTGGGGGGGGGGGAAATTTGGAATAAAGTAAATAAAGTAGAAATGTTGGATACTATGGTGTATAGATATATTTATATGTTTGTATATCATGATGTTGAAAAGTATTTAAAATGAAAATCAATAAATATTTAAATTATAAAAAAAAAAAAAGAGTTTGGCTTATCACCCTGCTCAGAGAAGGGTCTCTGGAGATGACAAGCCCAATTCTTCTTTACACAAAGTGATTGCATATTGTTTTGAACCCTTTACTTTTTGTTAAACCTTTACACTCAGATAGTGGCGCCCTCTTGTTCTCTATTCATTCCAGACCATTGCAACACATTCTGGCACCCTTGGTCCTTGGACCACCCCATGTGTCTGACTTGCAAGGGCAAACTCTCAATGGTGTGGTGGATCTTCAACATGGTGCTGGAGTAAAGGAAACTCTTTCCCACACAGTCGAGAAATGTTCTCTCAACTGATGCCAATAATACAACCTTGTCTTCTCCAGGGAGAATAAGTTTAATGCTTGTAGTTGTTCCTCATAACTGAGATCCTCCAGCCCCCTTAGCTTTGCCATCATTCTCTGGACTCTCTCCAGTTCCAACGCACCCTTTCTGAGGACTGGTGACCAGAACGTGACTGCATATTCAAGATGTGGCCGGACCAGAATCATGTAAAGTGGTTGAATTATAGTCTCTCTTGAGTAAATACCCTTTTTAATGCATGCTAATATTCTGTTTGTACAGCTTGACATTGGATGACATTGCTGAGCCTGTGTTCTACTAGGACCCCCCAGATCTTTTTCCATCCCAAATTCCCCCAATGGTCCTCCTCCTAGTGAGTAACTTGCATTCATGTTTATGGTACCCAAGTGCATTACTTTACATTTATCAACATTAAACTTCATTTGTCATGTAGTTGCCCACCCCATTATTTTATTCAGCCCTTCTTATAAGGTTTCTGTATCTTGCTGTGAAGTAATTGTCCTGCTTAGCTTTGTATTGTCAGCAAACACTGAGACTGATCTTATTTATACTGACCTTTATTTAATTTATGAATTAATTAAATAGAATTGGTCCCAGGACATGGGGTACCCCACCAGACCATCCTGAGCATACACTATTTATCACCACCCTTTGGTTACACCCCTGTAACCAGTTTTTCTATACAGGTACATAGTAATTTTAATGTCTAGTGCAGTGTTTCTCAATCTATTTTCTGTCAAGGCACCCTTTAAAGTTATGGACAGTCCCGAGGCACCCTTTAAAATTATGGACAGTCTCGAGGCACCCCATTCTAAAATGGGGTGCCTCAAGACTGTCCATAATTTTAATGAGGTACCCCATTCTAAAATGTGAAAAACTTTTCAAATAGTTTTATATAACGTAGCAACATCCACACATGTAGGACACCCAACACTAGATGTGATTTACTCGTCCAAAGCAAATACACTTTTGCACACTGGTACTGACTAGTATTCCAGTGTTTCTCTTCTCCCTCAGTTTTTCTCCATCACTGAGCTAATGTGACCCCAGCACTGATACAGGCAGCTGACATCCTCCTTAACTGATGAAGTCAATGGTTGTCAGGATGCCGACAGCTAGAAGGTCGTAATTGTGCACAATGAACACCTATGGCTTTGTGTAACTAAGTGGCAGGCTTGTTCCACCCGCTGGCTTGTATACAATTTTTAGGCAATTTTAAGACATTTTGCCAAGGCACCCCCGAAGAAACCTCAAGGCACCCTAGGGGCCTGGGCACCCTGGTTGAGAAAGGCTGGTCTAGTGAACTGTGTCTGAACCTACCTTCTATCTGCTCATTTATGCTTAAACCACATTTTATTCTAACTTGTACCAATACATTGAGTTCATTTACCACTACAGTATATGGTCTTGTGTCTATTCCCTGGTGCTAATTCATTAAAGGTATCTATAATTGTGTTCTTATAAGTGCTTACAGTAACTTTCATTCAACCAGGTGTGTCAGAGGGGCTGTAGGTGTTCCTGGAGTTGAGACACAGAACAGAAAACCCAAATTACCAAGCAACTCTTTTGCAGATAGTGGTACACTTAAACAATTGTCTGCCTTAGGTTCAATCAGCTCTTTCTTTTTACTGTGTGATAGTAATACTCTCCTGCCCTGATGGTGGCTCTGTAAGTACAAATATCACAAAGAATATTGTATTCTGAAAACTGTATGCAGTCACAGTGACAGGTTAGCATTTTTTTAGTTTGTTCAAGTTAGACAACTTGGCACACATGTAATTGTGTAGAAAACATAGAAAATGTTATTAATTTAAAAAAAGTAATTCATAAATGGAGTACTGCTGCAGGATGCTATCATTTTATGTATTCAATAGATAACGGTATAACAATATATATTCATGAGGTTCTTTAGGCCAGCCTAAAACATGCAATACTCCTGTCAATGTCACATTATAAATACTATGATGTGACTCAGCACTCATGAATAACTGTGTATATGACTATCAGTGAAGAATCTAATATGTTTCCTGTAATAAGATTGATGTGAGACAAATCTCTGCATTATGTCAGTGTGGAAGTCAGGGAGAAGAGCTCTGACCCCGCTATCGTTAAAGAGAAAATTTCTGCAACAACAAGAGCAACAAAGGCCCTGGCAGGAAAAGCTCTCTCCTGACATTGCCCTTACTGTCATTTGTTTTCATGGTTATGGTACAAATTGGCAGTAGGACATAAATATGTTGTCGTTTTATTTAAACTCCTCTAACATACCCCCAGCCTTTCTGAACTAATCTGAACTAACACCTCCAATCCTAGTGTCTTGGTTTTGTGAGCCAGAACCCAGGAGCTGCTCTCAGAAGTGACCAATACAAGTCTATGGGGCTCATTGTGCACACATGGCCAGAATTAAGTCCAAAGAAGACATCTGGTGGAGTTGAAGTAAACAGTGCCGCATGGTGGCTCTGCTACAGAGCAAAGTAGGGAGTTTAGTTGTGGCGGGTGTTAATGTAGGTTAGAAGGAGTGGATGAGTTAGAGGAGTTTCCTTTAAAGGTTTAAATGTCATTTAAATCTGCAAAACTTCAATTGAAAGCATCATTATTATTATTATACAGGATTTATATAGCGCCAACAGTTTGCTCAGCGCTTTACAATATAATGGGAGACAATACAGCAACAATACAGTTCAATACAAGAGGGTTAGGAAGGCCCTGCTCCTTGGAGCTTACAATCTAGGAGACCATACACCCTACACGACTGCAGATTGTTATTTAACATACTGTAGCTGCACCCAAAGTGAATTTTGTTTGTTAGCACCTGGTAGGAATACACCTGGGTTCATTGCAACAGTAAACTGCATCTGTTGTCCATTATGAGGCACCAGTAAATATATCACTCAATGGTTTCTTGTCTGGGAATAATGATCTGCATTCCACACTGAGAACCTCTGGCAGGACAGGTGCTTAAGTCACTCACATGAGTCCTTACTCATCACAGAGGAATAACTATGCTTTCTAATACCTGGGCAGATATTCATGTATGCATCATGCTGTACATGCCTGTTTGTTTATCCAAGAGCATACAGTACATGATTCTTAGCATAGCTGGTTGAGTGTTCATAGTAGGATGGCTACTGGATCAGCATCCGTGTACATTTCCCTACCTGCATTCTACAGATTTGGCAGAGTTCTAAAATTCAATTTCCAAAAGGGTTATTCTACTAAGAGCTCATGTTTGAGTTTTGGATAATCTAAAGCCAATTTTTTTTAACAATTACATAGTTACATTAGAGTTAGTGTGGCTGAAAAAAGAAAAAAGACCATCCAGTTCAAATATAAAAAAAAAAAAGAAATGTAGGTTATAATCCTATACCCACAGTTGATCCAGAGGAAGGCAAAAAAAACAAGAAAAGCATGATCCAATTTTTTCCTGCAGGGTAAAAAATTTTTTCCTGATCCCCTGAGAGGCAATTGGATATTCCCTGGATCAACTTTACCTATAAATGTTAGTATCCAGTTATATTCTGTGTATCTATATGGACTACCTATGTACTTGTTGATCATATCTCCCCTTCATCTCCTCTTCTCAAGAGAGAATAAATTCAGTTCCTCTAATCTTTCCTCATAGCTGAGCTCCTCCATGCCTCTTATCAGTTTGGTTGCCCTTCTCTGTACTCTCTCCAGTTCCCTAATGTTCTTTTTGTGAATCGGAGCCCAAAACTAAACTGCATATTCCAGATGAGGTCTTACTAATGATTTGTACAGGGGTAATATGATAACTCTCTCACAGAGTCTATACCTATTATTTAATACAAGAGAGGATTTTGCATTCTTTAGAAACCGAAGCTTGGCATTGCATGCCATTAATAAGCTTGTGATCTACCAGAACTCCCAGATCCTTCTCCACCATTGATTCCCCCAGTTGTACTCCCCTAGTATGTATGATGCATGCATATTCTTAGCCGCCAAGTGCATAACCTTACATTTATCAACATTAAACCTCATTTGCCACATAGTTCCCCAATTAAACAGTGCATTGAGGTCGGCTTGTAAGTTGCAGACATCCTGTAAGGACGTTATTCCACTGCAAATCTTGATGTTATCTGCAAAGACTGAAACAATATTTTTTGTCCCAGACCCTATATAGTTTCTAAATATATTAAAATATAAGGGTCCCAACACTGAACCTTGGGGTACACCACTAGCAACCCTAGACCATTCAGAGTATGAATCATTAACCACTATTTTATTAAACTCTCCAGTATATTCCCAACTATAGATGTTAAACTAACAGGTCTATAGTTTCTTTGTTAATGATTTTGACCCCTTTTTAAATATAGGCACCACACTGGCCTTACGCCAACACAGTGGTACAATGCCAGTCATTAAAGAGTCCCTAAAAATTAGAAACAATGTCTTTGAAATGGCAGAGCTCAATTCTTTAAGGACCCGTGGGTGTATGCCATCCAGTCCAGGTGCTTTATTCACCTTTATTCTGTCTAAATATTTATGGATCATATCAGTTGTGAGCCAATGTGGATGATCTGGGGCTGTGTCGATGTCATGACCATTATGGACAAGAGCTCCTTTGTATACACAGAGCTGAAGAAGCTATTTAATAAATTTTCCTTCTCTTTGTGCCCAGTCACCCACTCTAGATTATTTTGTAAAGGGCCTACATGCTCGAACCTGACCTTTTTTACTATTAATACACTGCTCAAAAAAATTAAAGGAACACTTTTTATTCAGAGTATAGCATCAAGTCAATTAACCTCTTGGGATATTGATCTGGTCGGTTAAGTAGCAGAGGGGGTTGTTAATCGGTTTCAGCTGCTTTGGTGTTAATGAAATTAACAACAAGTGCACTAGATGGGCAACAATGAGACGACTCCGAGAACAGGAATGGTTTTACAGGTGGAGGCCACTGACATTTTTTTCCCTACTTATCTTTTCTGACTTTTTTTTCACTAGCTTTGCATTTGGCCGTGGTCAGTGTCACTACTGGTAGCATGCGGTGATACCTTGACCCTACAGAGGTTTCACAGGCAGTCCAGTTGCTCCAGAATGGCACATCAATGCATGCCATTGTCAGAAGGTTTGCTGTGTCTTCCAGAAACAGTCTCAAGAGCATGGAGGAGATTCCAGGAGACAGGCAGTTACTCTAGGAGAGCTGGACAGGACTGTAGAAAGTCCTTAACCCATCAGCAGGACTGGTATCTGCTCCTTTGTGCAAGGAGGAACAGGATGAGCACTGCCAGAGCCCTACAAAATGACCTCCAGCAGGCCACTGGTGTGAATGTCTCTGACCAAACAATCAGAAACAGACTTCACAATTGTGGCCTGAAGGCTGGACGTCCTCTAGTGGGCCTTGTGCTCACTGCCCGGCACCATAGAGCTAGGGCACCATAGAGCTAGATTGGCATTTGCCATTGAACACAAGAATTGGCAGGCCCACCACTGGCACCCTTTAATTTTCACAGAAAAGAGCAGGTTCACCCTGAGCACATGACAGACGTGAAAGGATCTGGAGAAGCCGTGAAAAGCATTATGCCACCTGTAACATCATTCAACATGACCGTTTTGGTGGTGGGTCAGTGATGGTCTGGGGAGGCATATCCATGGAGGGATGCACAGACCTTTACGGACTAGACAATGGCACCCTGACTGCCATTAGGTATCAAGATGAAATCCTTGGACCCATTGCCAGACCCTATGCTGGTGCAGTGGGCCCCGGGTTCCTCCTGGTGCACAACAATGCTTGGCCTCTTGTGGCAAGAGTATGCAGGCAGTTCCTGGAGGATGAAGGAATTGATACCATTGAATGGCCCCCACACTCGCCTGACCTAAATACAATAGAACATCTCTGGGAGATCATGTTTCAGTCCAACCGACGCTGCCTGGTTGCACCTCAGACTGTCCAGGAGCTCAGTGATGCCCTGGTCCAGATCT